CGCATCATTTTTAATTTTTAAGGCGTGACAGTTTTGGATTCACAAGATCTATATGTGTAACATCGAGTTGTCCCCCCCATTTATTTACTTACCCCTAGGTAATACCAATGTTCACTTTGTCTGATTTTGTTGCAGTATGCCCCATATAACTAAAATCCATCACGTGACAATTTATCAAAAATTTATTTATTAATAATTGAAGATTGATGTTTTTTTCTATCTGTAGATACATTTAAATATTTTATTATAAATATACTTAATATCCTCCCTAGTAGCAAAATTACTTTGTTCTAAAAACTTTTTGTAATCTCAATTGACTTTTTCCCATCTTGATGTGAGATTTTTGGTTCTTCTTCTATTGACGTTTGTGATGGACTGTAATACCTTCAGCAATATTAGTATTAGGTGAATTGCTTTTTTACCACAGCCCGGGGTTGGCAAATTGACTGGTCCATTGCCATTAATAAAATATTAAAGTGTTACACTAATGGACCCAATGGACCACACATTTGCTAACCTTGCCACAGTCATTAATTTACATAACCATTAATTCATATACCACTTTATTTTATTTACTTTACCACAGCCTTTTTAATTAACATGGCTTGAAATTTTGAAAATTTGGGATAGGGATATAACTCAATGGGATACAAACAAGGTATATTTATATTATTTTACAATAGGGAAATTTATCCCATCACATATTGGGGATACAACTAAAGATGGGATGTAAATAAGTGGGGATATAAACGAGTTATGATTGTAATTTTTTAAAAAATGTCTTCTGTTACAACATTTAAGCGAAGTAAAAATGCAACCAACTCTATCCGAGAAGAAGAAACTGCCTTTAAAGGTGGTTCTGACGGTGATAGACAACAAAAACCACAGTTTAGAGACGAACGTTTTCGAAGAATGGAATTAATGATCGAGTTGTAAGTAACCTACTACACACAATAGAGTTGGTTTTGAAAAAAAAAATTTTAATTTAATAATCTATGCCTATACTTTTATTTATTTATCCTTTTTTAATATACATGTTCAGCACTAACCTTCGTAACCCTAAACATTGTCCAAGTGGTGTTTATGTTATGCCATCTGCTGAATTTTATGGTATGGTCTTAGATTTTTACTTTTATTATTACGTGCGACAAATAAATTTATAAATTTTTAATACACTCTCTTAGTTTGGTACGGTGTCATATTTATTCATAAGGGTTATTACAAAGGCGGCGTATTTCAATTTAGAATTGACATTCCTGCTGAATATCCTTTTTAATAAAAAAAAAACAAAATGGAAAAAGAAATTGTTTTAATTAAAAAAAACCCACCCTTAACTGTTGTTAAATCACATATCCAGATGTTGCACCTACTATCGTATTTCCATCTTCTACTATAAATAATCAAGGACTATTTCATCCATTGGTTCATGCTGAGACTGGTGAATTCTCTCTAACTCAACGGTTCAAAGACTGGACAACTCATAAATATTTTATCTTCCATATTCTTCATTATATCAAAAAATCATTTAAGAAAGAGGTACTGGATAATTTGTCAGAAAAATATTGTCTTGGTATAGACGCTTATAAATTGTAGAGTAAAAAATTCATTATTAATTAATTAATTAATTATTATTTAATAACACTCGTTATTCGTTATGATTTATTATTAATTATTACTATTATTATTACTAGATATAATAAAGATATAAAAACTTTTGCAAATATGGCATCACAATCTGCAAATTTTTCACGTTCTGAAACTGTTTTATTCGAAAATCATACTGAGGCTAATCCAATCCAATTTTCAATATTACCTAAAGAAAAAGTTGGCAAGTATTTATTTTTTCTTAAAAAAAAAAAATTAAAAAAAAAAAATAATTATGATGATATATTTTTTCAGACCTGTTCTGAGATATTTTCATTGAAGATAAAAAATTTTATTGCCATAATATATTCTGAATTATACAAAAAATCTTTTTTTTTTATTTTTTATTTTTATTTTTTTAAATAATAATATAATAATTTCTTTTTACATATATATATAGATGAATTAAAAACTTTTATGAGTCCACCGGTAAAATAATAATTGTTATTATTGACTAATTTTTATTTTTCTTGAATATATTATTAAATGTTATTTATTTTTTATTAAAAAATAGAAAGTTGAAAAAGAAAAAGAAAAATCTAGTTACTTTTCTCGTAGAACATTTTCTGCATCTTCGATGTCTTCTATATTGAATCCACCACAATAACATATCTATGAATATTTTGTAATGATACATTTATAATAATTTATTATGATTTATATATCCTTTATATATATACATATGTTAATCTTATTGTTACAAGTCTAAACTCTTTTTTTACAACTCTGGTAAAGTAAATTCAATAAATTTATTTATTTATTTATTTGAAGTGGGGGGTCGCATTCTAGGATTATTAATAGTTTGTAAATTATTATATGGTTGAGCGTAATTAGGGTAGGAAGTGCGTTTTCCTGTTCTCTGACCATTTTGAGGCAATGGTTGTCCTTTAGAATTAGGATAAACCACCTGTGAGATTGGCCGAGCTGGTATTTGATATTGTATTTGTTGGTTGAGTTGATTTGAACTTTTAATTGCTTGCTTCTGCTGCGGTTGTTTTTGTTGCTGAAGTTGTAATTGGTTTGGCTTTTGTGGCTGTGGTGGTTGTGGTGGTGTCTGTGGGTTTAATGGTTGTGGTGGTGGTGGGTAGTATGTTAGAGTATTTCCGTTTGGTGACTCATTCATAACAGGATCATTGGGAATAGTATAATTTACCTGTGACCTTTAAAATACAAAAAAAAGTTACGTGAAAATGTTTTGTAAAAACCCTATAGTTTATAGCTGAATTCGAAACAATTCACTTACAAAATTTTGGTAAAAACCTTGGGAAATATTCCATAATGAGATCGACCTTGAATTTTTCCATACCACCATTCATCATTTACTTGGAATTAAAAAATCAATTATTATTCAATAGTTAATAAAAATATTTGCATGTAATAAAATCAATGTAAGTCGGGGAAGAATTGAATGAATTGAAACATATACCACATTGAATAACTTCTATCTTATCTCCTTTTTGGAAAGCCAAATCATCAGTATCTCCTATTTTAACATGTATAAATAAATACTTGTTAAACATAATAAAAAAGAAAAAAGAAAAAGAAAACAAACCATTGAAATCCCATAATGCTTCAACGATTGCGAGTGGAGCATTTGGAAGAGTGATAGAATATGGGTTATCAAAATGTCGTTCAATTCCATTTTCATTAATATTATTTCTTGTTGCTTCTGCAGAGCTTTGATATCTTTGTGCAATTAATTTTTCTGTTGTATTTCGTTTTTCATATTGTTCATATATAGGATGGATTTTTGGAGACTTTGTCAAAGAAGTATCCGAGTAGTTTGAACCTTCAACTATTTAATTCAAAAAAAAAATTTTTTTAAAAACATTAATATTTTAATACTAATAATCCATAATAAATCTTACTTGAATTTGTTAAGGAAGCTTGAGACGAAGAATTTTTTAATGCAAATTGATTTAATTGCGCATTTATTGAATTTATTTCATGTTGAGTTGGTAAAGGAAACCTTTGGTTTCCATTTGTACTTTCGCTTTGTTCTTCTAGAACAGGTGAGTCCATTGTTGAATTTGTCGTTTTTGGTGATGGAGCTGACGATTGTGGAGCTGGTGATTGTGGAGCTGGTGATTGTGGAGCAGCAACCGATGATGTAGGTGAAGAAGTTATTGTATTTTTATTCTTTTGTATAGCTGGTTTCGGTAACTTGCAGCTAATTTCATCTAATACGTCCTTTTCAATATAGCCTTGCTGATGAAGAAAAGTTAAATCTTGAACGATACTATTAATAATGTGTATCGCGTAGGGTTCAAGCACGACCACTACCCCATTTGAAGTAGAGTTAGTCGTTAAGCTTATAGTAGAATTAGAGTTTGAAGTTGTCATTTAAAATAATATTTTTTTTTAATTAGTTTTTTCCTACAAACAAAATAAATCATTTTGCTAAAAAAGTGGTTGTGGTCACCTTCAAAAAAGTTAATTGATTTACAACGTGCAACACGAGTTGTTTAAAATTTTTTTTTGAATTTCGATTAGATTTTAATTTTTTTAAAATGGTGAGAAAATGTTAAAAAACTCAAAACACATAATTTGTAAATCAAAATTCATTAAAATCTAACTTTTTGATTTTTTAATCTTATTAGGGTATGAGATTGGAAATTAAGGTGAAGAAATAGCATTTGTGCAGTTTAGTTCTTGTGATTATTAAAAAGGATCTAAATCTTAATTTAGATCTCTGTTTTTATATATATATATATATATATAGCGTAAGCTTTTTGCTCGTTCGGATCGTGTAAAATGTGTAGATTTCCATCCAACAGAACCTTGGTTACTTGCAAGTTTGTACAATGGAACCGTTTATATATGGAACTATGAAACACAAGTAAATAATTAGTAATTTGGTTTTAAGAATGAAGTCTAGCTAGATTTAAAATATTTGTAAATTTCAGGCTTTAGTGAAAACTTTTGAGGTAACAGATGTACCAGGTAATTTTGGACGATCATCAAATCATCAATATAAATTTTAACATGTATAAAACATGAAATAACAAATTATTGCTACCATGATTATTATGAAATATAGTTAGAGCAGCGAAGTTTATTTCTCGTAAAAATTGGTTGATCACTGGTTCAGATGATATGCAAGTACGAGTCTTTAATTATAATACACATGAAAAAGTTACAACAATTGAAGCACATCCGGATTATATTAGATGTATTGCAATACATCCTACACAACCTTTTGTTTTGACAGGGTCAGATGATATGACTGTCAAGCTATGGGATTGGGAAAAAGGATGGAAATGTATTCAGGTTTGAATTTTGATTATATTAAATCATTTAATTATTTATTATTATTAGAAGATCAATTAATCAATTAGATTTCTCTTTTTTAAACAGATATTTGAAGGTCACACACATTATGTGATGAATATTAATTTCAACCCAAAAGATTCAAATACTTTTGCATCTGCGTGTTTAGATCGAACTATTAAAGTTTGGTCTCTTGGTTCTGCTGTAGCAAACTTTACACTCGAAGGCCATGAAAAAGGAGTGAATTGGGTAGATTATTATCATGGTGGTGAAAAACCATATCTTGTATCAGCAGCTGATGATAAACTTGTTAAAATTTGGGATTATCAAAATAAATCATGTGTTCAAACTCTTGAAGGACATACACAAAATGCTGCATTTGCTTGTTTTCATCCAGAACTACCGATAATTATATCTGGTAGTGAGGATGGTACGGTCAAGATTTGGCATTCAAATACTTATCGCTTGGAAAACACATTAAATTATGGATTGGAACGTGTATGGACAGTCGCTTATCAAAAAGGAAATAACAGTGTTGCATTTGGGTACGATGATGGTGCAGTTTGTATTAAGGTTGGTATAATGATTTTCTATTTATTATTTTACGTAAATAATGATGAAATTAAATTAACAATATATATATATAGCTTGGTCGTGAACAACCTGCAGTTAGTATGGATAATTCAGGAAAAATAATTTGGGCTAAACATAACGAAATTCAAACTGCCAATATAAAGGCTGGTCATGGTAATTTTAATTTTCAATATGTATTTTTTTTTAATCATCATCTAAACGATTTCTTGTTAATGGATATTATTGATTATTATATTATTGGTTAGATGATAATTTCAAAGACGGTGAACGTTTACCATTACCAGTTAAAGATTTAGGTAGTTGTGAAGTATATCCACAGACATTACAACATAGTCCTAATGGAAGGTTTGTAAATAAAAAATTTTAATTACCGTAAAGTCTCAAAAGATAACATCCCCGAAAGATAGCATCCCCTACTTTTAAAAAATTTGAAAATCATTTTTCAAATTTTTTATTTAATTAAAATTTTTTTTTCTTTGAATTCTTGTAAAGATTTGTGGTGGTTTGTGGTGATGGTGAATATATTATTTATACCGCATTGGCCTGGAGAAATAAAGGTTTTGGAAATGGATTAGAATTTGTATGGGCATTAGATTCTAACGAGTATGCTATATTTTATTTATTTTCGTAATTAAAAAGTTTAATTAATATTTGTAGTATATTAATTAATGTATATATATATATATATATATATATATATATATATATATATATAGATATGCTGTTAGAGAATCAACTACCAAAATCAAACTTTATAAAAATTTTAAGGAAAGACCAAATGCGCTTAAGCTAAATTTTTCAGCTGAAGGAATATTCGGTGGTACACTGTTGGGCGTTAAAAGTTCTTCTTTTTTAAATTTGCATGACTGGGAAACAGGATTATTAGTTCGAAGGATTGCCATAGTTCCAAAGAATGTAAATGTTAATTTTATAACTGAAATTTGTTTTTTTTTAATTTATTATTTATTACCAATCAGTACGTGAATAAATTTTCAACAGGTTTACTGGTCAGATATTGGTGATCTTGTAACGATAGCTTGTGAGGATTCTTTTTATGTTTTACGTTTTAATCGTCAAGCATATCAACAATTTATAGAAGACGGTAATGAGGTTGGTGAAGAAGGTGTTGAACAAGCTTTTGAACTGCTTATAGATATCCAAGAGAGGTAAAATTGAATTCAAATCGATTTAATTCAATAATTTTTTCATTTTACTGATCAATTTATTTTTTTTTTTTTAGCATTAAAACGGGTACATGGGTCGGAGATTGTTTTATTTATACTAATACCATTAATCGTTTAAATTACCTCGTTGGTGCTCAAACATTTACAATTAGTCATTTTGATACGTAAGTGATCAGTTAGAAACAATAATTTTACATTTAAAAAGATGTTATTCTAACCAAATTTGTTATCGTAATCAACATTAACAACAACATCATCATCACCGCTATCGTCTGGTGGATAGAAACATGTATTTACTGGGTTACATTCCTAAGGACAATCGTATATATTTGGCTGACAAAGTAAACATTTTTGATAGAAGTGTAGTTAGTTAATTTTTTTGCTTTTAAGAAAATTCTTCAACTAAAAGCACATAATTTTTCTAGGACGTTAATGTTTATAGTTATTCTCTTTCGTTAGCCGTTATTGAATATCAAACTGCCATACTCAGAAACGATCTTGAAACTGCAGAATCTTTATTTTCTTCTGTACCCAGTGATCAAATAAATCGAATTGCAAGATTTTTGGAGAGTCAAGGTATAACAAACATTTTCATAGTTTAGATAATAAAATTACATTGTATTTTTTTTTAAAAAAACATATCTACTTATATATTTACTAGGTCTGAAAGAACTTGCACTTGAAGTTTCAGATGATATGGAACACAAATTCGAGCTCGCTGTACAGCTTAACAAACTTGATATAGCTGTTGAAATTGCACGTGAAGTAGATACTGAGACAAAATGGAAAATTGTTGGCGATTCTGCTTTAAATGCTTGGAAGGTTGTACTTTTTTTTAATACTTAACAATTTTTTTCTTAAATAATTCTAATATTATATAATTTATAATTTTAGTTCTCGCTGGCTGAAGAATGCCTTAAGAAGGCTAAGGATTTAAGTAGTTTATTATTGTTATATACTGCATCCGGAAACTCTAAAGGCATTAAAGAATTAGCAGAATCAGCGGGTATGTATTATTAAAGCATTTTTTCCAAAAAAATAATCTAGCTCATTTTGAAACGTTATTTTTTTAAAAACTATGTAGCTGCTGATGGAAAAAACAACGTAGCATTTATTTGTTATTTACAACTTGGTCAAATTGAAGAGTGTATAGATATTCTAATTGAGACAGATCGTACTCCAGAAGCAGCAATGTTTGCTCGAACATATATGCCAAGGTTTTATTTTAAATTTTACTTGTATAATTTTTCATTTACTTATTAAATATAGTTTTTTTTTAATAGTCAAATTTCGAGAGTGGTGAAATTATGGAAAGAAAGTCTTGAAAAACAAAACAAAAAAAAGGCAGCAGAGGCTTTAGCTGATCCAGCCGATTACGAAAACTTATTTGCAGATTTTAAACATGTGAATATATATTTTAGCTTTTTTTTTTTTGAAAAACAAAGAAATCTTCATTAACTTTAATTACTAAACAGGCATTGATTGCTGAAGAACTTTCAAAAAAAGCACGTAGTAATGTTATTCCTGCTGCTGCATATTTAGAAAACAAAGAAACTCAAGTGAATGATATCATTTCTGGTAAATAACTTGCTCCATAAAAAAAAAAAAATATATATTTTGATTTTTTTTTAAAGAAAATTTTAAATACTTTGTTATATAAAAAATAGATATAAAGGAAAAATACCCTGATGGAGTAATGCCACCTAATTTATCATCTCCAATTCATACAAGGCTAGTGAATAGCATTGTAAGAAGAATTAACATAAACGGCGAACTTGATGATGATGTAAGCTTTAGAAAAAGGGTTTTTAATAATGACAATTAATTAAATATTAAATTGGAATTCGATATATATAATTTTTTTTTTCAAAATTATTCTTTGTAGGTTTTATCTTCAGTTGCCTCTGTAGATGATGATAGAGATAATATGAGTATGTTAAGTATGGAAGGTAGGTTTAACTCTCTAAGTCATTTTTATGTCTTATAATGTTATTGTTGTATTTTATATTTATTTATATATATATTTACATTTCTTTAGTTAATACGACCGGAACAGGTTCAGTAAGGGTATGTTTAACTGATTATTTATTTATTATTTAATAAATCATAAGATTTTCTCACAATTAATAATATATAAACAATAGGGTGACGTCGATGAAGATGACACTGCTTCACTTGCTACATCTGAACACGATATATAAATTTGAGGACTTTTTTATTTAGAATGTTATTTATTGAATATTAATAAATTTTTAAAAATAAATTATTAGAATTTTATAAATTTTATAAATAATATATAATAATGAATTTATAAATAATGATTTGTTTTTTTGATAAATAAAAAGAAAATTATTTTTTTGCATTTTAAATTTATATTAACACCATTAAAGTGTTTGAATTATCTTTTTTAACCAAAGGTGATTTGAGATTCAGGAGGTTTTAAGATGCTGAAATATAAAAACATACGTGTGAATTATTATTAAAATCAGTAAATAATATATAACAAGTGGCAATGATTTTTAAAAGTTAACAGCAATATAGTAAAAACTTACCGGCGAGTTGAATGTTCGGATTTATTGGTACCAAATTCGACACCTGATTCAAACTGAGATTTTCCTCGTCGTTTGCTGGAACCAGTGATTGAACCAGCTTCAGAAATATTATCGTCATTGTCATTTTCACCAATAGAGAAATGTGAAGCATTCTTGTTTGAATTGTATCTGGTACGACTAGCAGCAGCTATTTATTTGTATATTAGTTTAGACACAATAAAATCAATAAAAAGTTGTTTTAAGAAAAGAAAAATTAGGTGAGAACAATTCTTACGATCTTCAGTATCGTGGCTGAAAACTATTGAAGATTTGCCACCAGTACCACCAGGTTGACTAACGCGGCTAGAAGTATGGATATTACGACGAGGTTGTTGTTGTTCTATTTGCTCTGTAATATATATTTGTTTTTTCAAAAATTGTTAACAGTGATATAATTATTTATTTACGAAATAAAAATATACTGTTAATAAATCATATTACCATCGACTTTCATTTGCGCATTGGAATTCATTAGCGACAAACCAGCACTGAGAAGATTTTTACTAAATGGATTGAGATGTACATTTGGAGGATTAATCAATGCATCAACCTGTTTGTCAGTTATTACTGGCCAAGGACTCTTCTCAGAAATTCTATACAAAAAAAAACCAAATAATGATATAAATGAATTACCATTGTTATTAATATTTCGCTATTTAACAGAACATGTCAAATCTTTTATAATTACAATTTAAGTTGTTTCAACACAGAAGCTTGATCCCAATAAACGCGCTATATTTAAAAAAATTTATCAGTCATATTTGTGTGTATGGATTAATAATATCAATGATAGTAGTAGTAATAATAAAAATAGCAACGATAACTACTACATTATTAGTAAATCACTTACAATTGAAGAGATTCTATCACCTTCATATAATGCCGAAGTTACCTATCACATACACAATTTTTTGATTAAAGAAATAACAACGACACGTGAAAAGTTCAAAAGAATCAACCATGCTTACACAGGCTTCAAATTGATCAATAAACCTACCATTGGAATGACGACTTTGTTATCAATTGTGTGTCTACTGTCAACACCAGGTACGATCCAAGCACCATCGCCGCTAACAAAAAGAATTGTAATTTCCGCCTCTTCAACGACGGAATCAGTCCCAATTGTTCTGTAAACTGGTCTTTCGGTTATTTTGAGTACGCGAGGATCATATGCCTTTGCCAAGAATTGTCTAACGGCATCATAACCTCGTGCGCCAGAAGCTGTCGGGACAAAAATTACAGAAGCGTTATCTGTATAATGATCACCGTCTCGGTTACTTTTATATTCACTCCAAAGTTCGTCAAGATTCATTTTTTATTATTATTAATAAAGAATATGGGTAGTGGTTAGTCTAAAGTTCAATTTTTTATTGATTGATGAAGTTGTTTGGTTGCTTTGGAGTATATGTGTAATAATAGTTAACAGTGAATGTTGATGAAGTTCTATGTGAACATGTGAAGTATTAAATTTAATTTGAAACAGTTTTAATTCTTTTTTAAAAACAATAAAATGAAAAACCTACGATATAATGCGTTGTTTGGGAAAAAAATCAAATTTAGAAAAAAGACTTTTTTTTTTAAAAACAAAAAATTTAAATTTGCATAACTGATATATATAGACAAGCATGTCGTGTAACTGCATATCCAATCTCGCTGCAAAAAACAAATAAAATTTTTTTTTTTGATCGAAACAAAACATATCAAATTTTTTAACAAATATACTAATTATTCAAGATGTATCAAAGAGATCGTAATGCCTCATTATTTTTGGGCGGTGAACGTATTTCTGGCAATGAAGTTCGCAACCAAAATGGTACGAATTGACAAGTAGTTGTGGCAAAGAAAGACAGGCATAAAAACAGTATAACTAATGTATATTTAATCATTGATTATCTTATTTGCAATTTTTTAGTAATTGCTGTAATGTCTATTGCAAACATTGTTAAAAGTTCACTTGGACCTGTAGGTTTAGATAAAATGTTAGTTGACGATATTGGGGTAGGTAATTAGTTTGATTATATCATATTTACCAAGCATATTTATATACATGTGTGAGTGATTGTATACAAATTTATATTCAAGGATATACCTATATGACTATATATTTAATATTTGTATTATTTATTTCAATTTATTGATCACAATCATAATTATGATTATTTAAAAAGGATGTAACTATATCAAACGATGGAGCAACAATTCTCAATTTATTGGAAGTAGAACATCCAGCAGGAAGAGTATTGGTTGAATTGGCACAACAACAAGATAAAGAGGTTGGTGATGGTACAACATCAGTAGTTATCATCGCTGCAGAATTACTTCGTAGAGCCAATGAACTTGTAAAAAATAAGATTCATCCAACCACGATAATTACTGGTTATCGACTTGCAAGTAAAGAAGCATGTAAATATATTGTCGATCATTTAATCACAAAAGTTGATACATTAGGTCGGGAATGTTTGATAAATGTTGCTAAAACCAGCATGTCTAGTAAAATTATCGGAAGGTTAGTTGTAACTTTATATCATTTAATAAAAATAATATTATTTGATTTACTAACTCAAGTGGGAAATAGCGACGATGAATTTTTTGCAAATATCGTTGTTGATGCAATTCAAGCAGTAAGGTCTACCAATTCTCGAGGAGAAACTAAATATCCAGTAAAAGCTGTTAATGTACTTAAAGCTCATGGTAAAAGTACCCGTGAATCAATTTTTGTTAAAGGTTATGCTTTGAACTGTACAGTTGCAGCACAAGGTGATTTTTTTGGATTAAAAAAATATTGGTTTTTTTTATATGATTTAATAAATTAAATTATAATGTAAATAATTATTTAGCAATGAAAAAAAGAATTACAAATGCCAAAATTGCATGCCTAGATATGAATCTTCAAAAGGCTAGAATGCATTTAGGCGTCCAAATTACTATTGATGACCCTGATAAATTAGAAGATATTCGCAAACGGTTTATAATAATAATCTTTTATTCTTTAAAAGCAACATAACTATGCAATAATAATTTATTATTATTAATGTTTATAGGGAGTCTGATATTACAATTGAACGTATACAAAAGATTCTTAATACAGGAGCTAATGTTATTTTTACAACAAAAGGAATCGATGATTTGTGTTTAAAATTTTTCATAGATGCAGGAGCAATGGCAGTTCGTCGTTGTAAAAAAGAGGATTTAAGGAGAATTGCTAAAGCAACAGGAGGTTTGTTAAATTTACTATACAAACTTAAACACATGTATAAATATGTATATTTGTATTTAGTAAATAATATATGTTTATAGCTACACTTGTTTCTACACTTGCTAATCTTGAGGGCGAAGAAACATTCGAGCCATCTTATCTTGGATTGGCAGATGAAGTTCTTCAAGAACGTATTTCTGATGACGAATGTATTCTCATCAAAGGAACCAAAGCACAAAATTCTTCATCAATCATTTTACGTGGAGCAAATGATTATATGTTGGATGAAATGGAGAGAGCTTTACATGATTCGTTATCGGTTGTTAAAAGAACCTTAGAGAGCAATAGTGTCGTTCCTGGTGGTGGTGCAGTAGAAACTGCTTTAAGTATTTATTTAGAAAATTTCGCAACCACATTGGTAAATTATACACATACATATTTGTTGCATTAAGAAAGCAAAAAAACTTTTAATATAAACATAAATATAAATATATTTGTAGGGTTCACGTGAACAACTTGCAATAGCAGAATTTGCAAATGCACTTCTTGCTATTCCAAAAACGCTCGCAGTGAATGCAGCAAAGGATTCAACCGATCTGGTTGCAAAATTACGTGCATATCATAACGCATCACAAAATATTTTAACGCTCGACGATCCAAAAAAAAACCTTAAATATTATGGATTAGATTTGCTTAAAGGTGAACTTAGAGACAATTTAAGCGCAGGTGTATTGGAACCTGCAATGTCAAAAATCAAGTCACTTAAATCAGCAACAGAAGCCGCCATCTCAATTCTTAGAATTGATGATATGATTAAGGTAAATATTTGTTTGGACGGAATTTAATTGTATAATAATAATGATGATGATAATTTAATTAATTTATTGATCCTTTTCTTAAAAATTTAAAAAATAATGACAATAGGTTGAACCAGAGCAAAGAGGTGAAGATGATGGACACGGACATTAAAGGGAATTTTGATAAGTGTAAACGTATATATACACATGCATATATATGTGATATATTATTTTTTAAATAAATAATAATAATGATCTGATTAAAAAAATCTATTGATTAATTAAGAAATGTATCGATAAGTGTAACGAGCAGCTGATAGCAAACTATATAATAATGAATGATATATAAGCAAATTTAATAAATACTATCTACCATCCAATATCACGATAATGATTTTGTTATTATTTACCTGAGAATACTAACAAGTCCAGCAGGCATGAATTTACCACTATTATAGAAACGAACACCCATCACGATGAGTAATACACAGGAAACAACTATATTGAAAAAAAATATATATCAAAGATAAGTCGAATAAGAATGGATGGATAATAATATTGTTGATGATGTTGTTGTTACATCCATACAATTACATACTTAAAGCCATTCCAACATTTTTCGGATTAGTGCTAACTCGATTTGCTGCATATGCCTTTTTTAATAACGTTGAAAAGGACAAAATAATGATTGATTATATTATATTTAAAATTAATGATATTAATATGGTTATTAATTACCGCAAGTCCTCCAAAGCTCAAACCAGCAATTAAGGAAGGTAAGCTACCTAATCATTTAAAATCAGTTCATCAAACAAAATACGATTGATAATTAAATTATCAAGCAAAGAGTAAATAAAATAAAAACCTGCTTTTACATAACCAACGACTCCACCTAAAGTAACAGTCTTGATAATTTAATGAACCAACGTTTAAAAAAATATATTAATTTAATAGATATATTCACTCATTCAATATATAATATTTGTTTTATAAATGCTAGCGGTGGAATGATACTTACCAAAGCATAACTATATCCAATATAATCTGTCATTTTTTTTTTTGATTTCTTTAATTTTTGGATGTGATCGACATCATATCCAATTTTAGTTTTAAGCTCCTCCTAAACCGCATTGGGACAAGTTATTATTATAAAACCTCGTCCGTTAAGGGTAGAGTATAGTCATGTGATTTTATATAATGATCAGTGAGGATAAATAATTCCCAAACCTCTTTTAAATCACTCCGCCTCATACTAATATGCATGGTATTGTTGGAATCGAATCTGGAACTGTGACTCATTGTTCCGGGTGATTCGAATAAACGATGGCTCGTTGATTCGAATGGAATGAATAATGAATAAAACGAATAATTCTAATAAAACGAATAAACAAAAGGAACAAAACGAATAAAATAAATAAAAAAACTAAATAATTCGAATAAATACAAACGAATAAACGAATAATAATAATAAACGAATAAATAATTCGAAGAATTTGTATTACGAGTAGGAAGGAATTCTAGCTCAATTCAATAATAATAATGATTTTTTAAACGGGTTGCATTTCGTTTAATTAATTTACTACAAATATCCGAGCAAACATTATGAATAAAACAAACATGACTTGGCTATTTAATCATTTCCTTGTATGCGAATACCTCCATCCAACAAATATTCACAATGGTCATGATTATTATGCAATACATTTGATATCATCATTGACATAACAAACAATTGCATCATCCAGGTAGTAATAACACCAAGGCCATGGATAAACGAAACTTTTAATAATGCAAGTCTACTCAGATCTCTGGGCTCACAAGAATAAGTAAATGGAGAGGATCAAAAAATTATTTTCCTTCCCATCATATGGTTCCTTATGAATAATTAATCTGAAGTTGATCACAGGTTTCAGATTTAATTAAAACTTTCCTGTCACCAACATGTAGTAGTTGGGTGCTCTTAACACGTCTCATAACTATGGAACTTTTTCCACAGGTGAAGGTCCCCAATGTTGGAAAGCTTTGGACAAAACTTTTCTTATGCTCCCCTCAGACCAGGCTGGATGCCACCATATGGGCATTGATTGCTGATGAGGTTCGGCATTTGTGTGATAATTGCCTTGTGTTGTATTCCTCTCTCACTAGAATAAATTTGGTGCTAAGACTGGCTTGAAAATTCTCCAACTCGGAAGTTGCAACATGGGTTTTTGTTTTGGATTTACCTGAATTCAGAGTTTTGAGTCCTGGGTTGCTGTCTGGTCAGTGGCATGCTTACTCACCAACAACCCTACCCTCTTCGAAAAACAAATTCAGTTGGTCAAACAAAAATCAAAGTGAAACAGAAAATTTGGGAAAATGATTAATTTATAACATAACATACCAAAATCTGAACCATTTTATAACCTTTTCCTTGTTGGCCATATTGCTTACAAAGATATATACGCTTGGTGGACAAAAGTTTGCGTCCAAAATTTCTTTTGAATTTATTTCAAAATTATACTAATTAAAATATTGTGAACTTTACGTCATTCGAAAGCTCTCGTTCTCAAGAATGTATTCGTAATATTAAATTTGAAGTTTTGTCATGAAAAATTAAAAATTAAAAGATGATGTAAAAATCGTGAAAATGTTGATTTTGAAAAAATGGGAAAGAACTGTGAATTGAAAGATCACAAATCATTGGCCTTTTAAAAGGCGGTACGAGAAAAGAAATTAGTGACATACTTGGTTTTCCAATTTCAACTGTTAAAAATACAATTCAGCTTCCAAAGCACCCTTAAGAAAAAAAAGAAGCGGCCGACCCAGATTGGTTGGTGGTAATGAACAAAGTGTTTTGAAGGAAATTGTTAAAACTAATAATAGAGCTGCAGCTGATGGTATACGAAAATTCTCTTAATGAAGACACTGGTATAAATGTTTCTGTTAAAACGATTTATAGAAATTTTGAATCAAATTGGTATTCATTCTCATAATGTGGCGTTAAAACCACTTCTTAATGAAAAGCAACAACAAAATCGACTTGAGTGGTGTATGAATCGGCGAGATTGGACAATAAGACAATGGAGGACTGTCATATGGAGTGATGAAAGTCGATTCACTTTTTTTGGCAACGATGGACCAACAAAGTATGGCATGAGAAGGGAACTCGAAAATTTGGCTCCTTCTATAAAACATGGTGGAGGTAGGATTATGGTTTGGGGTTGCTTCACAGCTAAAGGATTGGGATCATTAGTAAGAGTAGAAGGAAAAATGAACCATAGAGATTATATAAATATTTTAGAAAATCAATTGCTTCCATTCATTCAAGAAAAATTTTCTAGAAAAAGTTACAAATTTCATATGATAACTCGCCTGTCCACATGGCTAAAAATGTTAAAAAATAGATATCTGAGAAAAAGTTAAAGATTCTGGAGATTGGCCTTCTCAATCTCCAGATCTTAATCCCATTGAACATCTATGGGATGAACTTGGTAGAAGATTAAAGCAACGTCCTGAACATCCAAAAAATAAAGATGAATTGGAACTTTTTTTGAGAGAGGTATGGCAACAAATTCTTCGTGAAAATTACTTAAATTTAATTGACAGTATGACCCGAAGGGTCGAAGACTGCATTGCCAATGATGGTTGGCCCACTAGATATTAAATAATATTTTTTTGAAATAAAGAATACGCTTTTTATCTATTAACATTTCGTTATTTTTTTATTTTTTATTTTTTATTTTTTATTTTTTGTCCTTTTTCATATCAAAACTTCAAAATTTAATGTCACAAACATATTATTAATGACAAGAGCTTTCGAATGATATAAAGATTACAATATTTTAATTAGTATGATTTTGAAATAAATTCAAAAGAAATTTTGGATAGAAACTTTTGTCCACTGAGTGTATAATCATACGATAATTTTAATCTATAGGACAGAGGACTGATTTGGGCAAAAATCCTTCCCAAAATCATAAATTGGTTAGTATCAGAGAAACAGAGAATTTATGAAAATGATTATACAAAACAAACACTATTTTACAACTTTCTTCTTAACATCAGAGCCCAAATGCAATTTCAGGGTCACAAACCCTGCTCTGATTTGCAACCTCCTGAGCTTGGAACGAGTCGCAGATTCTCGTTGCTTCGATGATCTGGTATCATAACTCTTCAAAATGCTGCAGAGTTGCGACTTGGACACAGTGCCAGCCTTACCTAGAGGTAAAATCGTTGCAGGTAACTTTTTGGCTAGCATGCCAGCGGCCATCTCTGGTGAGGGAAGATTAGTGAAAACATCCTTGACGATTGGTGCAGTCATGCTAAACTCCAGGGCCATGTTCCCCCCTGAAAATTTAGTTGCATCAATGTATCATCGGGGTAATCTTGGCCAGATTAGCCTTCGTACATGAGGAACAAGTGAATGACTGTAAAGTGTTCAAGGCAGCGTGCGTGCTTCACATCTGTCAATTTTCGATAATCAAACATTGCATATTCGAAGCGTGAATTGTTTCGGTCGTGCTTGCCTTGACTTCTAATTAAATATTTATTATTATTTATTATTAATATTATTGATTACAAAAAGCAAAATATCAATCGTTCATTCGTTATCATCTTGACAAGGATCTTATAATTACCCAGAAATGATCTGCTCTGCGTTTTGATTCCCATTATAATATATATAAACCAAAAGAAACCACATTATATCAATACAAGTAAAAAAAAAGTACCTCTGGTTAGTTATTAGCACGTCCTCTTTAGGGGAACCAAACAACAACGCTCGCGTTTTGTCACCTTGGACTCTGTCAAAAAATAAATTGTTTTTCCAAGAAAAAAAAAAATTCAATCGTGTCAACAGGACTGGGAAACTCTATTGGATGTGACCGCCAAATCAAATGACAAATCATATTAATGCGAATCGATTTTCCCGAACACATTTTAAAATTATTAATAATGCGAATCAAAATAGCCGAGGACATATGAAATTATCTTTATCGATTAAAAATATTTAAAAAGAAGTTTTATGTACTTGATTGACTAAAATGATTATAAATTAAAAATGTTTCATCATCTACTGCAATCAAACAAGGATTAATATTAGAATAAGAACGCATTCCCAAAAATAAACTACTTCTCGTGGTGTAATATGAATTGTAATGTCTCCTCCTCCTGCCAAATTTTCACATGAAAAATACCGTTGTGATACAGGAAGATAGGCCTTAATAGAAATATATGATAAATGATCTAAAAATCCTGCCGGCTTTTCTACCCATGAATGTCCTTGCCCACATTTTTCATTAAACATAATAACTTTGCCCAAACACTTGAAAGCTAGGGTATGTAGTAAAACGTTTTTGGCGTGAATCATAAGGAAAGTTTTTTATTATTTTTATTATGACTTTTCATTTTAAATTTTTAAATTTTATTATTGGTGACATTTTTTTAATTTTTAAATTTTTTTATCAATATTATTTATTAAATAATGCGAATTATAATGTAACCGATAATATAAATAATAATAATAATAATAATAATAATATATGTCTATTATATTAAAAACGTTGTGTTAACGTGTTCTAAGGTTTAGAATGGCGCGCACGCATAAATAAACGTAACGAGCATGATGGACATTCGTATATTACACAATCACCAATATACATTTCAATTGAAAATTTTAAAGTACTATTACCCCATTCGGAAGGTGAATGGACGAACACTAATTAACATGTGTAGTAATATAACCTTTCATCTTTTAAAACGTTTTCCGTGTCAGATCAGACCAGATCATACCTTCCTCGACTTCAATACATAATAGTGAAAAATACCAAAAACTAGACAATACGTACCTTGTAAAGAAACTAAAACTGAAAATTTTAGAACAATAAATGAAGGAAGGATGCACAAGGCAGTCGTTCTATAATTATTGTTAAATTAATGGGTATTAGATAACATGAATAAAAATTTGTTTCAGATATCTATTTGATAAAAACTTGTATATTTTTATAATTGGTTAAATACTGGGCTAGCAAAATACATGCAACGATTTAGTTAAGCTTCCTTTTCGATACCTCCTTCTCCATCACCAGCTGCAACTTAATAAATAGGAATGGGCCAACTAAGTATTTATTAAGAAGATACATAAAATATAGGCATAAATTCTAAATTCCTGATTCATAAACGTAATCATAATTTGACGGAATTGTGAATGACCTCATAAGCGCAAACTGTCCTTCCATATTAACAACATCTTGATCTCAAATAGATATCCATGCATACCAAATACCACACAATTATTATTAAGTATAAATAAAATGCGTACTATTGAACATAATAGTAAATATTTATTATTGAACCCAATGCTTGCGTGCATCAATCCAGCCAACAAAATTATCGAATGCTCGAGAGTGTTCAGCACACTTATTGCTGGAATAGGTTTACAAGATGAAGCTTTCAACATTATTGTTATAGATAATATTAATAAACAATCATTTTCAAATACCAAATACTGTCATCAGGAAATTAATTTAGCGTAAACTTGCATAAATCTTACGATGCTGACGTAATATTGTGTAAATCTTACAGTGCC